CGGCAGCCATGTAAATGCAAATGCCGCGGGGGATATTTAAATCCCCCGCGGATTTGCAATTGCGATGTGTCTCATTAGCATCCCTTTTCCGGAAAGGGATGCCAATGGAGACACAGCCCAGGAGACCATCCTCTTATCACCTAAGATGCTGCTGGAAACATCTAAAACTGAACAGGGGAAGGATTGGGGCCAAGCTCTGAGCTGCGGAGATTGTGAGAGGTGTAGATCAATTGTTTAGGGTAAGAACATGCACGTAACAAATTTCTTAGTATATTAGAATTACCTGGAGGGTTTTCTTTATTTTAACTCAGTAACTTACTTTGATCTGACTGTTTTAACTTGCAATCGCTTCAATCCCACTTTTTATACTTGATAATAAACACGACTGTTTTTGTTACGGCCAGAGTAAATAATTGTTGGGGGGGGGGGGGGAAGCACAAACACTGTGCATCTCTTTCATTGATGAACAGGCTGGACCTCAAGAGCTTTCCCCATGTAAAACTCTTCCATAGGATGAGAACTTTATTTGGGGTTTTGGTCCCTTTCGGAGGTTGGTTTCCTGGGTGCCAAGCCTTTGTGGCTGATCCCCCCCCAGAACTGGGCTAGTTCAGTGTTTATATTGTTTTGTGGGTGGGTGCCTACCTCAACTCCGTGCCTTGGCTGGAGGAGACCAGATTTTCCAGCCCAGCAGGACCTGGTGGCGGAGAGCCCCAGTGAGCAGGAAGGTGGGCACCAGTGGCTTGATCAGCACATTGGGGGGCAGCCCCAAGGGGCTTTCTGTGCTCTGTCACAGGCAGGCCGGCTGGATATTATGCAGCTGATGCTCCAGGGTGGCAGGGGATGCTCATGGGGCAGGGGCCTGATGATGAGGTCAGGCTTGGAGGGCTGGAAGTCGTGCTGTGAACGAAGCAGGGGGTGGCAGGCAGAGAGAGGACAGATTGGTGGTGAAGGCAGCTGCCCCGGTGATCTGGTTTCTGTCCTTACCTCTACCTCAGAGTTCCCGTGCAATGCTAGGCAAGTCATTGCCCCAGACACTTCACAGGGGGTCCGTCACCCACTGCGTGTTCCTCATTTCCTGAGCCCGACGGGAGACGTGTCCGGAGTGCGATTTACAGCAGTGCTGAGCACACACACCTGCAGCCTCTTTCCTTCCCCCACAGCCTGACCCCATACTTCCCAGCCTGCCCCCATGCAAGCAGCATAGCTAGAGCCACCCCTCCAGGGGCGGATATAGGGCAGGGCGAACGGGGCGGCCGCCCTGGGCCCCGCGCTTCAGAAAGCCCCGCGCATGTGCCGTGGCAAAGGGGAGGCCCCGCAAAACGGTCATCTGCCCCTGCACCCATCTACTCCGCAGCCTGACCCCACACCCTCCATTCTTTGCAGCCCCCCTGAAGCCAGCAGGCCTGTCTCAGCCCCTCCTGAATCCACTGCCTGTCTCTGGGGCAGGGGCCCCCACTTTGTATTAATTTCCAAAAGGCAGAGGCCGCTCACTGCCAGCTGTATTGACAGGGCCAGCTAGGTGGGGCACACAAATTGATCTTCCTTCCTTCCCCCTGCCTGTCTTTTCCTCCTTCAGTGTCAGCCCCCTTCCCGGTTCCCACCCTTTTGTTCCCTCCACTCATCTCACAGCCCTTTTCCAAAGCACAATGACTTTAATCCCCCTCCCCTGTCCAGCAAGACAGGCGCAGGACTGTCCAAGCAAACCCCAGTCCCATGGTAACCTGCCCTGTCCCAGGGATGTAAAATCCTGTTTAATTGGTAAACTGGTTAAACGTGATGTTTAACCAGTTAACTAATTAAAGGGAGGGCACCCACCACAGGAACTGCTCCAGGCTCCCCCCTTCCCCATTAACCAGCAGTGGTAAGCAATACCTGGTAAGGGTGATGCTTACCGGTTAACCTTTCACCTCCCTACCCTGGGAGCAACATCTGGAGGGAGAGGGAAGGTCAAATGCCCCCATGTGTGTATGTCTGTAGCAGGTCCCGATACCTGAGGCTTGGGGAGCCAGCGAGCAAACAAACAAGCTCCATGGCGTACTACTAGTCCCAGAGAGAACTAATGTAGAGAAAAAGCACCTCAGATGTGAGAGGAGAAAAGTCCCTGCCCGGCTTGCAGCCCAGCTGTCAGGGTGATATGGAACACACCAGGCCTCTGGCAGTGGGCTGGGGAAAGTCAAGATTACTAATGGTAGGACAGAAAGTAACAGCAAAAAATAGCCGGCTGGCAGGAAAGACGGGCTAACGAGAACACTCTAGCTACATTCCACAGACGGGGAACCAAAAAATGTAATCAGCGTCAGCACTCCCATTCGCTGGAGCCAAATAAGCCAGGCCGCGTCCGGTGTGTGCGCGCTGCTGCAAGGGCAGGAGACAGCCCAAGGTTTGCGCAGCTCTCTCGCGTCTCCTAAGTGGGAAAACCTAGAAGGCTCACGAAAAGGGCCCGCCGCTCTCCTAGCGGGGGAACAGCCCAGCCCTACTCTAACTGCCCTGCCTAAGGCTCGCAGGGCTAGCGAGAGGCTGACTTGCTCTTCAAAGGGCTGGGACGGAGCGGCAGCTAAACCTCGGTTAACGCCTCGTTACATGCCAGTCATTGGGCAAGTCCAGTAAGTTTAGCACAAGTGCACTGCAGTGAACAGGGCTCACAGGGTCTCATGGCAGGTGTGCACCCACTCCACAGATTCATCTGATGAAGCGGGTCTTACAGTGGCATAAGCCCCTTTAGCCTCGTCTGACAGTGGCAGGAGAGTTTTGCCACCTTAACCGCAGTAATGCTCTAGGTAGAATTAAACTGCACAGCTTTTGGGAGTGGGCAGCTTCTGTAACATGAGGCAGAGAGACAACCATGAAGGAAACAGGTAACAGCCACACTTACGGGGCCTGAGAAGTTCTGTCAATACAGGTTGACCCTCTCTGATCCGGCAACATCTGTGGTCTGATGTGCTGGACCAGAGAGCACCAGTGGCTGTTAATTGGAAGGCTAGCAAGTGGCCCTCACCTCCCCAGATCCAGCAAACTCCCTTGCCTGGGACCCGTCAGGTACTGAGGGTGCCGGACCAGGGAGGTCCAACCTGTAGCATGGGAAAGCACAGGTGGCTTGCTGCCCAAACCGAGAGCTCCACTGGGCGTGTTCCTGAGCCCTGCAGTGATGGAAACCCACAGCCTAGATCACGCCCTTCCCACTCAGGTTCTCCCGAAGTAAACTTTCTGAACGAGCAGGAGCCACCGAAGGGCCTTTCGCACTCGCTGCCACGCAGTCCTCACTCGGAAGCTTTTATCATCTCTGGCGTATTAGCAAAGCCTGCCGTGTTACACCAGGACAGGGCAGCGATCGGTCTGTCTGCAACTGCCCCGACATCGGCCCTTGGCACCCTGCAGGGCCACAGGAGCTGCACACAAAAAGACATTTATCCTGAAGCGTGGCTGAGAGAACAGCCACCCACCTGAGACATGCTCAGCGCCATCCCCTCCTGCGGGAATGCTGCCGAAGCCAGAAAGACGCCAGGAAGATGGGGACCGCACTCCCAAGAGCTCTTGGCTCCACATTGCAGCACTAGGCCCACCTTGGGCTCCAGCAGCAGCAGCATACAGAGGAGAGAGTACTCAAGTGCATGTCTCCCCTAATGGCTGGCCCGGAAGAGGATGGGTGCTGAGGGTGCACCTTGACACCAGCAGGCAGAGAGCCGTGCTGGGGGCTGGACGGTTCTATTAGCACAAAAAGCCAATGACCATAATGGGATGGGGAGGTAGAGTGACAAGACTTTCTCTCTATTGCAGCAGCCCAGCATTAGATTGGTCCAAAGTCTTATTCTCCACAGGGCGGCTTCAGGGAGCCCCGGATTCTCTTTGGCAAACCTGCTGCTCGTCCTTGCATATAAAAAGCCCCTGGCAATTTTCCTCACTCCTTCTTAGGCTCCAGGAACTTTGGCCACAACTCAACCATCTCCTGCTGTAAACCTGCAAAGGAGACTTGGGGTTGTGTGGGAGAGGGAGGGTGCTTAACGCACCCCCAAAATGTCATGGATAAGCTGGCACTCCCTAAAGTATTCAGGTAGATCATTTCCAAACTGACCGAGGGTCTCAGAGCCCCAGATCCCATTAGAATTCATCTCCTGCTCTGCGAGGCAGCTCACACCTAAAGGCAACTTTTCACCAAGACAATGAATTCCGGGTTGAAGGGGTGGTGGATGTCCTGCAGGTCCGGGCTAAGGCTCTGTTCCGGCTGTGAGCACTGTTCAATATTAAACCCAGGGGCCCTTCCTCCAAAGGCTCTTTGGTTTCATTGTTCTATGACTCCCTGTGAGCGCAGACACAGTTCAGTTCACACACCAGACAGGGCTCCTTTTGTTTTAGAAACATCGTTAGGACAACTCATTGCTTATCGAGTACACCCCATTTCCTGAGCCAACTTCTTGCAAATGTGGTAACTCACAGTTCTACAGAAAGGTACCAAATCTTCAGTCGGAAAGCACCTGTGACAGGTTTAGGTTCAGAAAGATTGAAAACCAAATGACTGATTTCAGATCATTTAAAACAAACAGCAGAACCCCCCGCACCAGTTATCCTTGCCAGCCATTCCCCCTTTCTCCCCCCCGACTAGAATAGGAGAGGTCCATGTGGCTCTGCTAGGCCACAAGAGTCAGGGCAGCATCACAGTCAATAAATGGAGGAGCTGCCTCAGCTGACTTCTCTAAACTACATAATCTGTGAACACGAACATGCACGCATAGGGCTATGCATCCACCACACTGGGCAAACTGTCTGCCTTTCCCACCACCACACGCAGGAAGCAGAGCTGAGATAAGATCGCAGGAGTCAATCCATTCAGACCACTGACTTTACTTAGCTTGCAAACTGTGGGCCCCTGGAGGTGCTAACATAACAGCGGTAAATAAGAACAGGCATTATTGACTGTCCTGCTAGGCCCGGATGCCACTATTCATTGGAACATTACTCTTGGCTGAAAGTCTTCAAGATGGAATAGGATCATTAAAATCACAAAGTTGGGAGGGTAGCATCTTTATTAATAGCATAACACAAGCCCCGGAATACTCTCTAATCCTCTGCCACTTCTGTGCTCCTCTGAAAGACAATTTCTGTCTTATCACAAGAGGAACTGGTGACATTAGAAGGAATCCCTAGAAGGAATCGTGCACAATATTAGAACTCAGGCAATCGCCAGACTTCAGATCCAGATATTTTACTAAATATAAATAGTCAAAACAAAACAGAACAGTTTTCCCCGAATGGAATGCAGGAGGAAAGATCGGCTACTTCCTGTGTGCGTGGGGAGTGCTAGAAAGGGAGGGGAAATTCCCAAATCAACTCCTTCTGCAGAGGAAGGAATGATACCTGAGGAGGGTGAAAACTCTCAGCTCTTTGCAGGAGTAGATGTCATCTTCATGGTCTTCTTTAGATGGTGATAATTTGGTAGGATTTTCATCAGGAAATCCAGCTGCAGCGTTTGTGGCTACAAGGAACAACATGTGATTAGCAAAGTGCTGGCAAGGGGTAAGAAACAAAGGCGTGTTAACTCTACAAGTCATTTCAGGGACACAAGTCACCTGACTTAGGCCCCAAGCCTGCCCCATGATCTGTATGGGCAGGCTCCCACCGACGCTGGAGCACTTCACTGGGGTGCTAGAGTCTAACAGCGCAAAGCCAACTGGTGCCAGCTGTACAATCTGCATAAAGCCAAGGCACCTGGACACCAGCATGCTTTAGAGAGGCCCTGGGCCAAAGCCCTTTGTAACCCCAATTAAAAGTGGCTTTCAAATGGCTGGCCTCTGTGCTTTCAAATAGGAACACTGCTAACTGCCTGGAATTAGAGATGGTCAGGAATGTAATCCAACCCCCTTCAAGAGCAGGGGATAGTCCACTTGGAAAAAAGGTGCACATTACGGAGACAGAACGGATGGCTGGTTGAACACAGGCACGCCGAGTGGCCTAACCTGAGTGCACAATGCAGGTGTTTCTGCTGAATTGGGCAACTATGGAGACATGCTGCAGGTATTTCCTAGGTGAAGGGCCCTCAATGTTTGGCCCTGAGAGTTGTGACATATTGCAGACCAACTGTATGGAAGGAATTAAATGAAACCTCCCGGTTGGTTAAAAAGCTCTCAAGACTAAATGTGCTTCCAGAAGAGCAAAATGGTGAACCTGAAATGGTGCCCCAGAGGGACTGTGCCAGGTTGTTAAGGAGGGCCAGCCTTTGGAGTGCCAAGGTGCTTTCCAGCTGAAAGAAACCCCTGCACATCTGACTTCGCTTCCCCCTCCTCGATCACACTGAGCTGCTCTCTGCTTGTGTCTGGAGCAGCACACCCGCTTTAGGCAGATGGGAACGATCGGCTGCGGAGCGCGGCAAACGGTTTGCCCTGCCAGGAGGGCACCCCCACCTGTGGCCGTTCGGTCTGCACTCGGCGAAGGCACTTTGCATCGTAGATCACGGTGTTCTCCGGGATCACTTCGTGCGTGCTGATGTTGCAGCAGGCCCCAATGACGCAGCCACTGGTCAGAATCACATTCTTGCCCACGAAGGCTGCAAAAGACGACAAAACCCTTGCTGTGACTGGGAAGGGGAGGCAGAAACAATCAAAGCAACCAGAGCGCTGAGAGTCAGGAAGAGCAATAGTCACATACATTCAAACGGCCATCCTGGTCTCAAACACCCCTTTTGCTTGCCCAGCCCCCTCTACTCTCATTTCTACTGACCTTCCTGCCAGCTGACAGACCTGCCTCCCACCCTGCTCCCTCCTGTAACTGCACAGGGCTCTCACTTCCATGCCTCAGTCTCTCTAGGCAACTCAGCCTTCCCTGCACTCCCACCTGGTCCCAGGTTCCCAATACAACATGCAAATAAAATCTCTCTCACTTCAATCTCACAGGAAGGAAGCTGCATACATAGTTATCGAGTATGCACGCAGCTGCTCTGGCGCGAGCCAATAATCCTGCGAGGTGCACACAGTGCAGGGCCACAGAGAGGGAGCACCCCACAGCTAGCTCCAAGTGATCTTTGAGCCCTTCCCCAAACCTGGGCACAGCCAGGGTGTGTTCTGGCTCCCAGAACAACTAAGTCTTAATTTCACTCCCAGGTCTTCCTTGGTTACCAATCTGTTTCCTATCCATGTACTTATCAGATGTGCTTGAACAGTTTAGCTTTTATATACTAACATCCAAAAGTTCAAGTCATCAGGAAAGACAACTTGAAACTCTTGATCCCAATTCAGTAGCTCTGGAGCAAGAATGGAATCTACCAACTGCACTCTGTCCCTCTTCACCACAATTAAAAGTGGCTTTCAAGCTGCTGTGCTCTGTGCTTTCAAATGGGAACACTGCTAGCCGCCTGGAACCACAAGGATTAGAGGCGGCCAGTAATATAGTCCAACCGGCTGCCAGGACCGGGGATAGTCCAAAAAAAAAAAAAAAAAGTGGAGTGAACGCCAAACTGTTATAATTCTAACGCAGACAAAGGCAGTTGTAGTTTTAACGTGCGCTGCTTAGTCAGATTCCTCACCAAGGTTTATCCTGACCAGCTACCATGTTTAAAACATACCTTTCCCCTTTTCTTTCCTACTGGACATGCAGCCCGAGAGAAGACATAACAAAAGCTGAATCAATGCTGCACTAGATCTTATACCACAGGCAAATATACAGAACACCCTCCCCTCCCCAGCCCTGGCTTTAACAGAACAAAACAATGTAAGCAGCATCAAACCTGCCAAAGGCACATTTGAT